ACACACACACACACACACATATATGACCCAGAGAGCCTTTATGCAGGTTATTGTATTACATATATATTATATATATTGACATTTACCACATTTGAAAGTAAAAGCAAGAAATTTCCAAGACGTTAATTTATTTTAAAAGAACCCATTACATGGTTAACAACATTTTTGCAGAAAAGCAAACTTGTCCAAAATTTTTAAAACATAATTAGCAAAGTAGCATTGATTTACATTTTGAAAATCTCTAACGTCTTGATTCAATCACAAAAACTGGATTCTTTATGTTTCTTTGTATTCAGTCTGTTGAAATCGGCAGATAGCAACAGTGGACACTTTGGTGTACACTCCTGGGAGAATGAATGAAAAAGTTTGATAAAATCTTATTATGAAAAAAACATTTTCACCTGTGAACCTCCTGAAAGGGTCCAGGAACTGCAGCAGGGCTTCTGAGACCATAAACTTCTCAAGTGACCAAACTTCATATTGTTCTACCATTATTTGTACATATCTTTATACAAAGTCACCTCCTAATACTGTTATGCATAGAACTTGTCTTAGACAATAAGTGCTTATTGAATTGAGAGTCATTCATTTAAACTATTGAGGCCTGCTATTAGCTAAAAGTTCCAGAAGATTAAACGTTAAATATTTTATTCCTCTTCATGAGGGTTTATCTAGCAATAGACTAGAATTTTGAGACATTCACAGTAACATTAATTGCCATGTTGAATGTAATACTAAAAATGGATTTTATTTTTTATTGAGTACAGAGTACCAAACAATGTACTAAGTGTTTACATGTATTATCTACTTTAACCCTCCCAACAACCCTGAGTTGCAAAGTTAAGATCGAAGCAAAACTTAATGATGATTTGGGATTATTTCCCATGCAGAAATGAGGTAAGAAATGTAAGCTAAGAAAGTCAAGCAGATATAGGGTGCAAGTTTTTTATATTCCAGGAAAAACACATTAGGCTTTTAGCTGTACAGAGAAAATGCAAAATACTATTAGTCTAAGTCCTCAGATTTCTGAATTTCTAGATTCATCATAATGTAAAAAATTGTCATCTTGGGAGTGGTGTTACATGTGACTTGGGAGGCTAAGACAGGAGGATCACAAGTCTAGACCAGCCTCAGCAACTTGGTGAGACCTGTCTCAAAGTTTACAAAATCAAAAAAGGGGGGGATGGGCTGGGGATGTAGCTGAGTGGTAGAGCTGAGAGTACAATCCCCAGTACCCTCCCCGCCAACACACACACAACCAAACTGTCTTTGGAGGCAGATCCTCGTGTTGTTCTGGCATTAATCAGGAACCTAGTTAGGAAAGAATCTGGGCTTCTTGGAGAGTACTACCACTTGGTGATAAAGGAAGAAAGTCAGTAAGACTTTGCCAGCAAAACGTGTGGCTGCTGGGATCTCAAAGAGTGGATACCTGATCCTGGGTGTTGCATTTTCCTCCCAAGCCTTCAGTCACTAGAGGCTGCAAAATGCTGTTAGCTTTGGGAGTTTGGTGAAAACTTTGAGGCCACTTTTCTGTGGAGTAATATAGAGAGGAGGGCCATCCCCTAGCAAGAGGTGACAAGCACGGAAGGGCATGCATTTGTGAAATCTGGGAATTCTGGGTGGGAAGCCTGACAAGACAGGTGAGTTACACCAGTCTTCCAGGATGATGAAGATTAGTTCCATGTAGGTTAGTTGAGGTGGGGAGAGTTGGAGAATTTGGGATGTTTAAGGTTGTGTCTATTGAGATCAGAAGAGTTAAGCTGCCATTATAAAAGTTAGCAGGGGAAACTTGGGGCTGGAGAGTGATAGGCAAGGGTCTGGGATAGCTGGTGATTCTCAGTCTATTTAAGACCAAAAAAAGCTTATGTTAAAGTGGTTTCATACCATGATGGGAGAAGAGCATCTGAAGGTCCTAAAAGTGTTTTTCTCTAGTGTTAGACAAGACTTGTAGTGAGAGAGTCTGATCCAAGTGAACAATGAGTCACAAAAGAATGTGAAGAGTTTTTCCTCAGAGTTAATTAGATTCACGGCCCAAATATCTTGAAAGTTGTTTCTTCTCTCTTTACTTTTTTCCTGACTCTATATCTTTCCTCAAATTAGATAAGAATTTACTTAAGAATATAAATCAATAAACCACACGAAAAGTCCATTCAGAGCTGTCCAGCAGGATAATTAGGAATACTTGTAAATATTTTCACACGGTTGTTGATGACTCAGCATGATTGCTTACTTATGGTTTAGTTTGCCACAACCATGAATGACCTACATGAAAACCAACCATGGTTCCATTCCAAACTGATCTAATATTGGACACTGCTGTATATAGGCACAGAGTCTGAGTGTCTTGCCCATAGTGTAAATTATAAGCTTCAGGGATGGGCAAAGATTTGCGGGGAGGGAGCTCTAAAATGCCTAAATTCTGCTCAGTCAGAAGCTAAGAAATGAAGCTAAAAAATGGGACTGTGGAACACGCACCAAGGAAAAACCATCAGTCATTTCATACATGCATGTAAAAGGTGTTCCTTTAGCTACAGAAACCCTGCCTTCACTCAGCTTATAACAGGAGTGAGAATATGTGTAAAAGTTCTAGCCAAAGATTCCCTCGTCTCCATCTCCTGTCTCTGAATTTATCGTACATTAGAGCTCAGGCTTTGTATCTCTCTGTTTTGTTTGTTAACCTAGTCTCCTGGTGTTATTCTTCAGTCATATGACTTTGTATATCATTAAGTTAATTACTCCCAATATATCTGCTTTGAATCCCTGGGTGTGTGTAGATGTCTATTTGTCATCTCCTCTTGATTGTCTTTTAGATATCTTAAATGTAACATGTCTGAAACTTAACATGTCCCCTCCCGCAAACCTTTTTCTCAGTTTTCTGCATCTCTATAAATGACAACTTTATCCTTCCAGTTGCTGGGCCAAAAAAAAAAATCAAGTCATTCCTGATTCTGCTTCTAGATATGTTATTTTTATCTTCAAATCCTCAGTATATATCTGGAATCCAATTTCCACATCTACCATACTGGGCCAAGCTACCATTATTTCTCACCTGGATTATTCCAATAGCCACTCAACTTCTTCCTCCTTTTGCTTTGCACCTATTTCTGGTCTGTTCTCAGCATAGAAGATTCTTTAAAAACATTAAATCGTATTTTGTCTATCCTCTCTTCAAAACCCTCTAGTTGCTTTTCTATCTCAGTGTAAAAATGCTATTTAGATACTAGTTAACGCTTGAACCTTACATCCTACAGTTAATCAATCTCTCTCCACCACCACCTCTTTAATCATACCCCCTGAATATAGTAGTGTCTTTGTACCTGCTGCTTATTCAGAATGAGGTGGTCTCCACAAATAACTACATGATTTGCTTGTCCACTTTTCAAGTGTTTGCTTAAAAGCCATCCTCTGGATAAGTACTTTATGGATTATAAGATTTGAAATTACCCCATACATCTGTTCCAGTATTTCTTGTCCCCTTGCTTTGTTTTAGTTTTCTCCAAAACATTGGATAGATGGATATATATCAGGAGATGTGCCGGGCATGGCAGTGCACACCTGTAATCCCAGCAACTCAGGAGGTTGAGGCCGGAGGATTATGAGTTCTAAACCAGTCTCAGCAAGTTTACAAGGCCCTAAGCAACTTAGCAAGACTCTAACTCAAAAAAAAAAAGGCAGGGGGGATAGGAGATGTGACGCAGTGGTTCAGTGCCCCTAGGTTCAATCCCCGGTACCAAAAAGAGAGGGGGGGGGGGGTTGTGTGTTATCTATCCTCCTCTAAAGTGAAAAAATTCAGGAGGGTAGCAAATATTATTTGCTGCTCTATCCTCAATACCTAGAAAAAATTTACCTATTTTGGGTGATTAATAAATAAGTTGTCCGGCATAATTTTGATGCTGAGAAATTAAAACTAATTACATAAATAGATAGATAGATAAATTGAATTAATAAATGAAGATTCCAGAGAGTAAATGTACCAAGAGAAGAAGCAGAAGGACCTAAAAGCAATTCTGTGGTTTATACCCCCCCCAAAATGCCATTATAATATGTTCCATTTGATTTTATAAAAAGCAAAGCCCATTTGTTTCAGTAATAAAGCAGTTTTTAAATGTAATTCAAAAATTCTGAATTAGGGCTCAGGAAGCACACTTACAGGAATATAAGGAAGGAAAGATAAAATTTGAGTATATTTCATGCATCATCTTAGCTGAAAGCCAGTACCCATGCAGAAAATTGGTACAATGAAGGGAGACTCAGAATCTTGCTTTTCTCTTTGCCTCTGTATAAGAAGAGAAATTGATTACTTAAATTTGGTCTTTTGGGGAAGAAAAGTCAAAGTGTTTCTATATCAATGTAAACAGTTAAAGCATCAGATTTAATGAGATGACGTCTTAATTTCATGTATTAGATCCTGGCAAACTTCTCATAAAACAAGTTTATTTAGCATATAGTATTCTTATTTTTAAAAATCTCATTCTAATTATTTAAAAACTTAATAATCCTGATTCTTGTAATGGCTGCTTCCCAGAAGCGGTGTCACATGTACTCTCTTAGCCTCAGCATCCAGAGCTCCAAAAAGGGAATATTTCAAGCCAGATAAATTTTTATATGTACCATTTCTCAGCCTTCAAGATCCCAGTATCATGACCTCAGTTTCAACACAATTGTTCTTAGTCCTCATTTCATTGCTTTTGGTTCTGCTAGTTGTTGAAACACTAGGAACCGGGGACGCAATCGCTACCTTGTTAGATGTGGTTCTCAGCATTGCAGGCATTTGTGCTTGCCTTGGTGTGTATGCATGAAAGCAGAATGGACAGATGTAACTTTTAAGGGCCTCCTGAATCAAACTTTGCCCTGAAAACTTTTGTGTTATTGAGGATAAACCTGAGCTTTAGTCTGTAAACTTCCCAGTGAACGATAATGGTTTCTTATTCTTAGTTGTTTCCCATGAAATGAGAACAAATAGATGTTTGTTACATGGAAAAAAATGTTTTCTTTATAACAAATAATGTACTGAAAACTGCAGCCTATAAATTGTATTTGCTGCTTAGAAAAAGTGTCAAAGACATGGGATGGTATAAAGTAAGTAGTAGTTGAAAGTTTCAGAATTCTCAAAGCACAGGAAATAGGAAGGAAGAATCTCTTGTCCAGAATCTGGCAGATCTCCACTATCAAGTTATCACTGCCTCCTGAATCCTTAAGGAGTCTTTTTCTCCATGTTTTTATTATATATTTGCTTTATATACCAAGTTAATATTGTACTTACATATCAAATAGCCAAAATTAAAACATCTATAGGGGGAAAAAGGTTTGGAAAAATGTATTTAATATATATTATATTGAAATGGAAAAAGATTTAAAGTTAAAAAGAACCCTTTATATTGACATTGGAAGAGATTCAGTGTAAGCAAAACAACCTTTGTATTAATTGAGTAACATCCCATGTTGAGAAGTATTATATTAAATATAAACTCATTCATTATGTTGTAAGTTAAAAAAAAAAAAAAAAGCCTAGTAGTCCTTATGCTATTTCCATGTTTGTTCCTTGGCTTGACTTGGGTGTCAAGTCTTTTCCGATTGCTAACTTTGTAACATTGATTGTTTTATCTAGTGACATTTTTGAGTCATTGGCTTCTCTTTTTCTCTAGAGCCCTACTAGCACTATTTGTATTTGCTCATGTGCCATGATTTCAGATATTGTAGTTCCCCAATGGAATGAAGGCATATTCCTTTCAGAAAACAGCAGAATTTAACCTTTTAGCACCTTCATTTTGGATCATCTTGTGCTTCATTATCTTCAAAGAAGAAGTTAAAAAGAATTTTTTTCTGTTCTTCCTAGTTCTTATTTTCACATGAAAGACAAAAATTTCGATCACTATCAAGGCTGAATTTCTCTCACATCCTGCTTCAAGATTTCTCTTGAACTCTCCTGCCTTAATAACTCTGGGAACTGAGTGAGAGAAGGGAATAAAGAGGAGGAGGAAATTCTAAAGAAGGAGGAGGAAAGAACACTAGCACTGATAATGTAAATAGTTTCCAGCACACACCAACTTGTGATTAATTCCTTATAGTACCTGGAATGGTTCAGCTATTTAGTAGATGTATCATTCTGAAAAGAGGTTGTTGACTTGAATAAATTTGTCATTTTCAGTTGTCTGGACCTGGAGCAGTGTTCTCTTAAGGTGTTGGAGCCTGAAGGAAGCCCAAGCCTGTGTTTACTAAAACTAATGGGTGAAAAAGGTTGCACGGTAGCAGAATTGAGCGACTTCCTACAGGCTATGGAACACACTGAAGTTCTTCAGCTTCTCAGCCCCCCAGGTGGGTTTTCTGGTAGGAATATTATGTAGAAGTTTGTGGAGTAAAACTTAGAGAAAAACATCTCATTTACCAGGTAAATTTCATTAAATTTTTTCTTGTCCCATATCGAAACCAAAAAAGACATAAAAAGCAAATAAGAATGCATGAACATTGATTATAGTTCAAAGAACCGGCTATAGGAGATGTTTTTGAAACAATTGGGAAATTTTTAATGTAGCCTACATATTTGACATTATGGAGTTCATACAATAATATTGTAGTTCTATAGAGGAATATATTCCAAGGAGATGCATGCTAAAATATTTATAGGTAAGATTATAATAATCTTATTATAGATAAGTCTGTATTATCTGTTATAAGTAACAGACACTGAAACAGTTAGCCAAAAAAGTGAACTCACACAATTATTTTTGTATACGTATGTATTTGGATGATAAAGGAAGTAGGACAGATGTTTATTTTATTTTGTTTTGATTTTGGTATGGACCACTTAACTACTGAGTCACATCCCCAACCCTTTTTTAATATTTTATTTAGAGACAGGGTCTCACTAAGTTGCTGAGGCTGGCTTTGAACTTGCAATCCTCCTGACTCGGCCTCCAGAGCCACTGGGATTGCAGGCATGTGCCCCCATACCTGCCAGATGTTTAATGTTTTGAGTTTTTTGCCAACATGATATTTTGAAGTGTAATTAAATAAACCACAATGGTTTTTCCTCAATATGTCAAAATTGAGTAAGGCATCTTACTTCCAAAGTCAAATGAGGAATAGGAAACAGTTCCTCCTCTCTGTAGCTATAGTTAGAGTTAGTCAATTGCAATGGTGTCAGGAAAGACATGTATCAGAGTTGCCTGATGCAACAGTACTGCAGGCTCCCAAGTATCCACTGAAAGCAAAGAGGCCAGCCAGGCTTGGAAGGGCCATAGACTAAGTAATTGATGCTCTCTGTTTTATGTAAATTTCAGGTATGCCACTTCATTATATAACCAACCTGGTTATGATATATTGTTATGTTAAATAAGGACTTAGGGACAGAAGGTATAGCAGTGAACTATGGATTTACATGTACCAGAAACCCCAACTCAAACTGATAGAATAAAGGGAATACATTGCTTGTCCCGACAGAAAAGCCTATTTCTAAGGGACTGGTTGTTTTTTGTCTTTGTTGTTCTTCTCTTGACATAAGCTTCCTTTTAAAAAGACTGTTGCTCCATTAGCCCAAGATGTCTGCTATCCATTCCTGGTCTCATGCATCTTTGTCCCCACGTTCCCAGAAAAATCAAAAGATTCACTCTCATTAATTAGTTTTGTATACTTCCCTGTCCCTAAACCTGTCATTGTAGCCAGGGACATGGAATGTGCTGATTTGCCTGGATTAAAGCCAGTAGTGAATTGAGTTGAGTCAGCTTTCCAGGAACCACATGGATCACCAAACAAAATTAGACCTGCTGGATGGAAAACAGAAACAACAGATGCTGGGGATATAACCAAAAAGTCATGAACAAATGAGAAGAAACATGGACTCCCAAGTCATCCCAATTTACTAATGTAGATGGTAAAATAAGCCACCAGTAAATGCTTCCTTTGAGATATGCACAGTTTTAAATGTTTGGCTTTTGTTTCCCACTGCCTCTTCATATCAAGTGTTGCAGGCTAGGAATAACTAGCTGCTAACACAGATGCCCCAGTATGTAACTCTGTCCATCACCAATCAGTAAACTTCTTAAGATACTATTTATTAATTTTTATATGCCCAATGCCTCAAATAGTGAGTACGCAGTAGTTGTGAGGATCAAAATCCACCAGATTAGGGCACTAGGTTCTCATACTTTATAGAACAATTCTGAAAACTTAAGAAACTTCTCTTGGAATTTAATAACACTTTTGAATCTCATTTCTCTTTTTCAATCATTCTGACCATTGGTTATCAATTCTATAAAATGAGTGGAGTGTTCTGTCTGTCAGAAGAGCAGGAGTGACATGGAATAATGATGTGTTGAATTGTTTCTAGACAGTGACAGGGGCCAAACATATCTCTTAAATTTGTGGTGCAGTCACTGACCTTGAAATCTATGGTTCCCAATTAAAGTTTTCTGTATGTGAAACCAGGCTTCACTGAAATTGAGTCATAAATTTATTGATATGTAATGATCTGCCTGAATTTTTTAAATAATATTTTATATTTTGACTTTTGACAAGCCAGCAACTGGTAAAGTGCCTCCCTAGTAAACATCAGTAATCTTCCTTTTAAAAATCCAGTTTTGCTCTTTGTGCTTTTCTCCAAATAATAAGAGCACTCTCCTGTCAGTGTGCCCTGTTCAGGTTGTTCTGATATGTGGCAAACAGGTTTTTACAAGATCATTCCATAGGGCTCTTTTGTAGGAAATAGGAAAACAGTTTTTATATTACCACTTGTATGCTGTTTCTGTGAAGGTTTTGTTGTATTAACCACATGGTATCAATAAAATTGGTTGTTACTTGAATATTATTTATTTAAAAGGAAATATTTTGGGGATTTAATAAAGCTTAGTAATTTTAGGAAGCAGTAAACTATTGTTAGTTTAATATCTATAGCTCCCCAATAATCTAAAATTTACACTATAGGTATTAGAATAAAGAAATGTAAGATTTATAAAGAAGAATTTTAATATCAAGGCTATCAAAAATAAAAACTATTATAATTTTTTTTCTTTTTTTTTTATTGGTTGTTCAAAACATTACAAAGCTCATGACATATCATCTTTCATACATTTGATTTAAGTGAGTTATGAACTCCCATTTTTACCCCAATTACAAATTGCAGAATCACATCAGTTACACATTCACATTTTTACATAATGCCATATTAGTGATTGTTGTATTCTGCTGCCTTTCCTATCCCCTACTATCCCCCCTCCCCTCCCCTCCCATCTTCCCTCTCTACCTAATCTGTTGTTGTTCAGTTCTCTCCCTTGTTTTTTTCCCCCCCTTTCCCCTCACAACCTCTTACATGTGATTTCATATAACGTTGAGGGTTTCCTTTTGTTTCTATGCAATTTCCCTTCTCTCTCCCTTTCCCTCCCACCACTCGCCTCTGTTTAATGTTAATCTTTTCCTCGTGCTCTTCCTCCCTGCTCAGTTCTTAGTTGCTCTCCTTAAATCAAAGAAGACATTTGGCATTTGAAAAACTATTATAATTATATTAAGAATGCAAGCTCTGAGGTTGGGTTTGTGGCTCAGTGGTAGATTGCCGCTGCGGCAGTAGAGTGCTTGCCTAGCATGTGTCAGGCACTGGGTTTGATTCTCAGCACCTCATTTAAATGAATGAATAAAATAAAGGTCCATCAACATCAAAAATATTTTTAAAAAGAGAAGATTGCAAGCTCTGATAGAATCACCTCAATTTGTGACTTTGCTCATTCATTAAGTAAACCTTTACTGTATTCCAATACTTTGCTATCTCAGATGTCAAGTATTGTGAATTCAGAGCTGAATTAAATAATAG